AGAAAGCGAAATCTTATTGGGAATGTCAGTAATTTGATCTAAAACTTTAACACAGTGTAAAACCACTTGAGCCATGAACGAGTCCGGTTGCTACGATGGTGGAAAGTTAGCCAACCCTATATACTGTGGGCGCCTCCGGCCTTGTCTATTGTCAAGGATTGCAGTTGAGCTAATAAACTGAGTGGAGCTGAATGACTGCCCTCATCTATAATTCAGTGGCTGCCACTCAATAGGGCTCCTGGTCACGCTGTGGTTCCCTGACCTTCACAGTTAGCCAACCTACCGAAACCACATGTATGCTAGCCAACACTGTCTTAATAGTAGCATAAAGCTAATTACCGCTGAAGAATGATAACACACATCTCTAATGACAAAGGGAAAGCTTCCATAAAATATAGTGCACACACACTAGCTAAAAAAATCAGTAAATACACACACACACGTATATGTAGCCTATATGTATGAAAAGAAGGAGAGTACAATTGAAATTTACTTTGTGTGGTTTAAAATCTAGACTGTGTTTGTGCAAGTGCAGTGTCTCAGTAGAGCACTCTTGATAACGATGCTTCTCTAATGAAAGCAATAAATCAAGGGTGAAACCTGTTTAGTAATGAGTCACAAATACACACACTCGTACCAAGGGAGCGAGATGAAAGTGTGTGAAGTGCCTGGTCGCCCATCTTAGCCACAGCGCTGAAATAGGCCTCACTGCAAACGCCTAAGGCTGCAACATACAGACATCGAGAGACAAATGTAGCTTTTCACATTTAGACAAATCAAACTGACAAATCTATAAACTCTACAGTAACATCACAACCACTTAAACTGCTTCTTATTGTGTCGAACAGTTCTGCTTTTATTCATTACTTTTAAAAGACTGGCAGTGTTATTTGATATGTGATTCTGGTCTAAGAATAGCCTCGTGCCACTTGGTATAGTTTTACGGCACAGCCCCACTGCCCTGTGGCTGATAGCCTGAATTGTTTTATCAGGCACAGAGATGCATGAATGATGCATGCTGCTTGCACTATGCAATGTGACACACGTGATTAAGATTGGAAAATGTACAATGGAAAAGTCGGACAACTCGGACATGCAAATAAAAGGTGATGCACACAAAAAAATCTCTCATCTCTGGAGAAAAAAAGGTTTTAAATTCTGCTTAATGTCAGCAATCAAATAGAGATTATTTTTATCAAATCATATTTTCATATTCACATGTACAAATCTCTTTATATCTTTTCCTAACCAAATAACTTCTACAAATGAGTAGGTCCTTGATAGACATTTACAATCCTGTGACATTTTTTGGATTTTAATTGCAGCTCGTGGCCTCCTTCTTAGGGTCTCCATGGGCAGACTTTACTTCAATCATCTCTGTACAATCCTGATCCAACATCTACACTAGTGCTAACAACAAAATCCACATTCTCCACAGTGTAACTGCTCCTTTCAGTCATTCACAACCTCGCTCACCTTGAAAGGCCTTGATGTAGCTGTTTCCAAGAGCAACGAGCTTCTGAAGGCCTGGGTTGAAGTGCTCCATCAAGTTCTGCAGAAACACACGAAATACAAACTGAGCACCACACCAGGTGAATTCAGCAGTGACTTGAAGCGTAACGCTAAAATGTATTTTTATACTCACCTCCAAGTGCGCCCCGGCCTAGTTTAAATATATAAAATCCTTCTTTAAATAATGAATACTATACCGGTCCCCAGGTTTCAACACAATGAACAAAAACAAAAGAAACATGATGTAAACTCACCGAATAGACAGATAAAGTTGATTTGTGCAGCTGATCACTACTGACTCCAGACATATTGATCGATTTCAGGTTTAACGATAAAATGAGAAAAAGCTGGTCAGAAAAAAACTAAACTTCTGTAAAAAGTCTGTATTCCCAGAAGTTTACTGTCCCGTGTATATCAGTGTCTTAAGGTGGAGAAAGTCACCTTCACCTATCCTCCCACTGCTTCTGCTGTTTTCCCAAAGACCAATAACACCTATCTGACAGTTCCTTCTCCTTTTTTTCAGTCATTCGTTAATGAGCTCTTTTACCCTTATGTCATCAGCAGTTTTTCTGGAAAGAGCAAGTGAGCAAGGGTAAGAGAAGAGGTAAGGGAGTAGCTGACATCGATACGGCTGAGCAAGGTAAATTATTGATTGGAGCCCTGAAAGGAAAGGAGAAGGAGGACAGCCAGCTGCCTAACCATCCGTGACGTATCCTCACACCTGAGGGAAAATCCTGCCACAGTTTGTTTGACTGACGAGAAACAAACTTCCGTGTTACAAAGGTACAAATTACTTAAATATAGTTAGCTCACAAAATGAAGTAAAAGTTTTAATGCAAACATTTTTCGTGCTATGGGGACATTTATGTGTGGAAGTAGAAGAGTAGAAGAGAGTGAGCAGCAACGAACTGTTCCAGCTTCTGAAATCAGGCAGAAGGTTTCGCACCATCCGAACAAGAACAGAGAGGCTCAAGAGGAGTTTTTATCCTCAGGCCATTCGTGTGTTGAATCACCCCCATCATCCTTAAGTGACTGAGACAGGACTCATTAGCTCATTCTCATCATCCTGAATCCTTCTGGCCTCGCTATAGCACAAGACACTTTAACACCCTCCTCTCGCAATGTACACAAGCTGTAAATTTCCAGATTGTTTTATCTTATTTTATTTCTATTTATATAATGTACATAACTCACCCACTTGCCGCATATAATGTCCTCCTTGTATATACTTATTCACTGTATATGAAGTTCTGTCTGTCTCTCTTTTTTCTTTGCACAGTCGAGGAGCGTATCAGGTCACACTTCACTGTATAACCATGCACGTGACAAATAAAGAATCTTGAATCTTAAGAGAGAAAAAAGTATTCCACTTTAGACTTTGTTTTAAGTTTCTTCTCTTCTTTCCAATTATTCTGTCCTGGTTTCTGTTTGCTGTTTACGTCTGCTATGTTTTCTGGTCGCTCCCCTCTACTCTTCACAGCCCCACATGACTTTTTACTTCATGAAATGACCTTTACATTCTTCTGTTGTGTATTTTGTCTGCATTTGGATGCAATCTGATAAGCGGAACTTTTCCAGGAAACGTGTTAGTTCCCTTTCAAAAAACTAAACTAAATCATCACTGAATCTTCAGCCAGTGCATGTGAGTTCTTTATATAAAGCTGAAACAGTTTCAAGTGGAATTATTAGCAATCATTTTATTCACACAAACCAAGTTAAGAACCAGAAAAACAGAAAAAACATTAAATGTAGACGAAAACTTGAATTAAAGCTCAGATTCACTCAGAGTCACTGTTTGGTGTACTTAATGCTATAGCTGCACTAAACCAAATACACGAAAGTCTTTTCATTAGGTGTTTTGTACCAAAAGTGTTGAAAACACACATACAAAAAGAGCCAGTACCAGGCAGGCCCACAGAGCAGAAGGACACATAATATTGCAGGGAACTGACTAGCTAGCCCCCGAAAAATGTTATCCTATTTATGACAATACTACTGCATTACATCGTGTTAATGATTTATCATCATGTGTCTGACAGTTACTAATCAAAGTGAGTTTTAAAATTATATAGCTCCTATAAATGATATTTTATAACTCTGAATGAAATAAAATGAAATAAAATATATATAATATATATGAAATAAACAGATATAATGTGACAGGTAAGTGAGACTGCTCTAACCAGAGGGAGCGGCCACGTCTTTCAGAGAGGCCGTGTCCTCATAGAAGACGTCTTCACCGTTGTCATTTCTTTTCTGCTCTTTTTGACAGCGACTTACAGTTCCTAGGACAGTTTTCAAACGTCGATCTAAAGCCGTAAGGTGGGGCTCTGCCAGAAGTGGGGCCACCTTGTGAAGGGGATCACGAGAAAGTGACGCTCTCATAACATCGCTTAATCGATACTGAGGCAAAGTCAGGAGACGCAGGCGTAGCCAAGTGGAGCGACGGATTCTGGAGAGACAGCAAAGTTTTTAAAAAAGAAGATAAATGGAAAAAGGAAGTTACTTTGGGATGTTTCAAAATTGCCAAATGACAGGGTAAGAGAATAGGATGAAGAAAGAGAAAGAGGAACAGCATCTGATGGTTAAGGTGCAATGTGATTGTTCTCTCACACTTTCTGAACTAAGCCAAGGAACTTTGTTCTGTCTCCCTCCATTCAACCCCAACCATCCACGACAGCTGGCTGCCCATCCCTGAGCCTGGTTCTGCTGGAGGTTTCTTCCTGTTAAAGGGTAGTTTTTCCTCCCTACTGTTGCCAATGCTTGCTCATAAAGGGTCGCCTTGATTGTAAATCTATTACTGTAGAGTCTTTATCCTTGCAATATAAAGCACCATGAGGTGAATGCTGGCGTGATTTGGTGCTATATAGATAAAACTGAACTGAATATTTACCTGATGTATAAGTAATTCACTACATGTATGTGATGGTCTGGTTTGTACCTGCAGCACTGTTTTAAGGGAGTTAAGATCGAAGGCTCATCTTTGGAGTGACGCCCAAATCTGCAAAAGAGGACAGATCCAGAGTCAGCTATGTCAAAGTTACAGTCTGACCAGCACCTCTGCCCAGTATATGAGCAACACATACAGAACAGAAATACTCACGCCCTCCCATTGTCAAGGTGTAGCAGAAAAGTATTATTGACAAATTTCTCAAATGTTTCATAGTGGTGCCTGTCCATGTTACCTAAAGAGAGAAAGTAAAAGAAAGGATTTGCTTAGTAATCAGTAACCAAACCTGAAACATTTTACATGTTGCATACATATAAATATTCTGGCATAAACATCTTTATGCTTACGGCTACTGTGTGTACTTTTGTGCGTCTGCCATCTACAGATTGAGTCACATTTTATTCAGAAAAGTACTTTCAACTATTTTAGGGAATGTCATCCAAAAGAAGAGAAGACAGTGTGGAGCTGAAATAATCACTTTATAGAAGTTTGTTAAATTCTTTCTTTTTTTCAGAACAAGAATGAAGAGACATGAAAGTGGATTTATAAATTTATTTGAAGGTTCACATAAAATCACAGGAGCATCAGTCCTCATGACATACTGTATACTACAATCTTTGCATCATTTCATTTAACAATAACAGCAGATAAGGCAGCTGAGTACAGTCAGAGTCTACTCACTAGTCTCACCCTTCTCAAACTACACAGAAGAGGATCTAGCTTGGTATGAAGGGGGACTTTTGTGATAATGTTAACATCAGCCAGTCCTGAGCTTCCACTCTCCAACCCTTCGTCCAGATAGAGTGGGCAGTGGTAGATTGGTACCTGAGGGGTAGTTAAGGGAACGACGGCTGCACAGTGAACATTCCTGTTATCCATTAAATATGAACTTTTGCAGGGGGCTGTATCATGGGAACTGTTCGTGCTCCTGACTTGAGCTTTAACACAAAGAAGTGGTACTGAGCAAGACTGAGGAGAGACAGTGTCCTGTAGGACTTGCAGTTGTGTATCCCATGATGCCCCTTTAAGTTCCAGGCCACACAAATACACAGCATCCAGAGGAAGTGAGATGGGGTATGTGCTGTAAGACAGAACCTGTGTGGACAAGAACATCAGAGCTTATTATCCTTACTAACATGTTTAGTGGTAAGGAAATAAGTGTTTACTATAATTTTATTTGAATGCTTTACCTGGAACTGTAGAATTATATCAGTGATATATTTACGATATACTTGAGCAGCCTCTCTCATCATTGCCACCAGCAGGCCTCTGGCGTTTTTAAAAGCAGATAGTCGATAAGCACCAGGTGGATCTGAAGCATCATGGTGCCACAGATATGCACTGAGCAACTCTGCCCTCCTCTCCAAGCCAGACAAGTCAGTGAGCTTGAGGAGGGACGCGAAGGTCAGCGAATACTGAACAGGCTGCTGCAGCTGTGAGAGGAGCAAGGACACCGAGTCAATGAGATCATCCCACTCAGCTTGGAGGAAGTCACGCACAGGCCCGCGAGGAAGAGCTCCTGCATTTGTTACGGCACTTTCATTCTTGCTTGTGAGGTAGCGCTTCAGACCCTCCAGTCTGATTCTGGCATCACTGAACGCTGGCAGCGTAGCAAGCTGCTTTTCTTTGGTGCTAAAACGCCTTACTGATCGAAGGGGAGTTTGCGAGGTCCGCAGTAACATGGTCATGTTGTAGCTGTTGATCTTGATTATCTCAGTCGTTATGTCGGCATTAAAGCCCAGCACCACGGGCTCGCTGATGTTTGCTGATTCCCAGAGACCCTGCTCCACGACCTGCAGCTGTCCAGACAAATCTGAGGGCATAAAACATCCCAAATCTATTTTACAGAGAGCAGCCAACAGAAAAGCATTCTC